AAAAAAAAGAGAAAGAGGAAAGGCGAGAAGAAGACAGAAAAGGAAAGGGGAAGAGGAGGGTGGCGAGGAAGGAGGTGCCGGCAGCCATAGCCGACCAGAGGGTTGACCAGGCGTTGACCAGAGGGTTGACCAGGCGTTGACCAGAGGGTTGACCGGGCGTTGACGAGAGGGTTGACCGGGCGTTGGCCAGAGGTTGACCGGGCGTTGACCAGAGCATTGACCAAGGCGTTGACCGGAGCTGCTGACCACGACTTTGACCAAGCTGGAGTTGGTATAATCTCGCCAGGCCCTTAGTCTATCCCCTCGCCCTATGGATGTGCACTCACCCTATGGTACTTGCTGAGTCTGAGTCTGTCTCTCTCTTCTTTCTGCATTGAGTCTCTTCTGTCCAGGTGATAGGACTCCGTGTATGAAGGATAGGGCCTCGTTGACCAAACCCCTGCCGGACTGAGTAGGGCTAAAGACTGTGTCTGACGACTCGACTGTCCCGGAGGACACGAACCCTCCCAGGGACCGGTACTGACCGGCGGGCTGCTCGGTGTGGCACAGTAGGCCTGAAATCTGAGTTGTGGGCTGCAAAACGGGCCGTCTAAGTCTTGAGAGAACCTGCTGACCGCGTCGTCCTGTCTGCGACGTTAAATAATTCATGAGGAGTTACGGGGGATCTCCTTAAATGCCTCCTGGTCAACAACAGGTTTTGTAGTGATGGTTGTAGTAGTAGAGTCTAGTCGAGAGACCATAGTTGACAGGGTTTTATACGGATCCTGTGGTCCATAGATCGAGTCAGTAGGTCTTGTCAGTTAGGGGGAGAGTTTAAGTGGTGAGGAGCGGAACCGCCATTGGGTTGTGCATCTTTCACCATGGTTGACACACGTAATGGCACGAGTACCACCCCCTATACGCCCGAACAGGAAGCCAAGGTCGCCGCCGCCCTGAAGGAGAGAAGAGAAAGGAAGGAGGCCAAGAAGAAGGCCTTATTAGAAGAGCAGGCGGCCAAGCTGAAAAAGATCGAGGAGGAGATGGCCAAAGAGAAGGAGAGGCTGAGGAAAGAGGAAGAAGAGAAGTTGAAGGCGGTGGACGAGGAAGAAGAAGAAGAAGAGCAACCACTGGAAAGGCGGAGGGCAGGCGACATAGGAGAATCCAATGGGGTTAAAGAGGATCAATTGGAGAAGAGAATCACAGAATGGGTTGCAGGACTAACCCTGGGGGAAGACGAGGAGGCATTGATGTATGTGCCCAGGGATGAGCAGGAGGCGACTATAAGAGAATGGGAGGCTGAAGAGGACCCGCTCAAGCGGCAAATGTTGGAGGATAAGAAAAGGATGGAGTGGAAGTTTCGCCTCACCAGGGAAAGGAAAAGAAGGATGGAGGCCGCTAGTCAGGCGGCGAAAGAATTAGAAGAGATAAAGAAACTGAGAGATCAGATGGCGGTACTGGTAGATTTATTGGGGAAGATGGAAATTATGGCGAAGAATATAGAGCGCCTGACACAGGTCCAGAAAGAGCAATTTCTATTTGGTAGAAGTCAAGATATTGCCGTGTGTTCTATACGATTAGGGCTCAGGGACTTCACACGTGAACTGGCTACGCAGGTGGGCACCGAGGTGAGGGCCCGCCTCGATGGGACAGAGCGCTATTGCACTGGCGCCATTGAGGGCACCAGACTAACCGCTCCCAAAGGGGAGGAAGTACGTCCCCGTAGGAAGCCGGTCAAGGTCAAATTTCCTGATTCGTACAGTGGGAAGAAGGAAGAGAACTTTGACAACTGGGAAACGAATGTTAAGACCTACGTGCACTTGCAGAAAGGTTCCCCAGATGAGCACGCCCTAATCGTCATCCATGCCCTGAAAGAGGAAGCCGCCAGTTTTGCCTGTTCCCCGGTAGGCATCGCTAACTGCAATATTGATGTCGTTGCGTATTCTGCGTTCACTCCCCTCAGTGACTTTATGAAATTATTGCGTGAGCGGTTCGCAGATGTTGCGCGTAGTGTTAAAGCCTCCGATCATTTGCAAACCATTCATTCGCGTCAGTGGAAGAGTGCCAAGGCACTGAAAGGTGTAATGGATGAATTGATTGCAATCCCTGACCACGGGGTCACCGAGACCCAGTTGGTCAACCTCTTCTACTGGGCTATGCCCGAATCGCTGCGAGGGCACTTCTTTGAGAAGAGTCAGCAACCCACCATGACCTACGACGCCTTGAGCAGGGAAGTGGTGGTGTTTGAAGAGCGGTCCATGTCAGTCTCCACTTTCTGGCACAAGGATCTAGACAAGGGGAAAAAGTGGAAAGGCCGCACCATCTCTGGTCAGGTTAAGACAAAGGATCATCTGATCCCTACCTTAGACGAAGGTGGTGTCGAAGAAGTTCCCTACGAACAGATAGAGTGGGGGCTTGAGGATGAGGGCAGTAGCGAAGGGCAAGGGAGGACTTACGCTGCTGCCGCGGCTGGAGGGAGGTCGCAAGGAGGAGGAAGAGGTCAGGGCCAAAGGGACCAGGCCTCAAGGGGCTGTAGCTAGGGCGATCAAGGGGTTGGCGGTAGAGGAGGAAACCGCCAAGTGGGCGGTAGGGGTCAAGGTCCCCCGCAAAACCGTTCTGGAAATCGGTCTCCTGGTAGAGGAAATTGGTCACCACGCAGGGGGAATATGTCGTCCTCCCGGAGAGGTGGTTGGCACTCGGGGCTGCCCTAGGGCAGACCCTGGGAAGATCTGCTTAGACCAGCGCTTATGGCAACAACGTGTTGACCAGGGACAGTGCATATACTATGGTGACCCTGACCACATTATTAAATACTGTCCTAAGTATAGAGAAGCGCAGTGGGCTGCCCAAGAGTCAAAAGGCAGCCGCCGATAGGAGTAGCAACTGCCCCTACCCCAGGGCCATGTGGAGATAAGTCAGCGAGCCGGTACGAATCTCCCAAACCACATGAGCCCATGGCAGAAGTTGCAGGTCGGTGCCTAGATAGTTGTTCAGAGATTGCATGCGTTAGAGTCTCTCTAGGCACTTCCCTCACAGGCGTGGCAGAAGAGTTAAAGGAGAGAATGCCCGCCTGGGCCAAGATGAAGAAAGATAATAGGGGGCAGCTCATACTAGTAGATACAGAGATCTTTAGAGGCCGAGCTGACACCTTAGTGGATAGTGGAACCACTCGCAGTTATATTAGTAGGAAGGCGCTGCAAAAGTTGAATTTGCAGTTAAAGGTCCAGAAATTGGCAGACCCTATAGTTAGTATCCTCGCAGACAACCGCACTATGCGAGTCGAGGATTACGTAGAGGGAGTCCAGGCTGACTTCCGCCTAGAGCAGAATGAGAAGGTGGAGAAGGTCCTCCACTCCCTCACTCTCCTCGTTGAAGATAACCTCCCGTTTGATATAGTCCTAGGAATGGACTGGGGAGAGGCAGCAGGGGCCACACTCCACTTGAGAGAGCACGAGTGTAGGCTCCCTAGCCCGTCAGGCGGAGTCAAGACTGCCCGCCTATTCCATGTGTGAGGAGTAGATGACTCCCTGGCACATTGTTGCCTTAGCGCTTCTGCATTTGCACGAATGGTTAGGAAGGAGCAACTAGGGGAACAGGTTTTCGTGGCCTATGTCAGGCCAATTACTGAGCCTACAGAAGAGAAACCCGCAGACCCCGCTATCGCCAAACTGCTGGAAAGATACAAGGATTTAGTTCATCCGCCGATAGGAGTAGTTCCGCGGCCGATCCAGCATCGCATTGAGATCGAGTCAGGCAGCAAGACTCCTAAGGGAGGTGTGTATAGGATGTCCCCGCGGGAACTGGAAGAGCTTCGCAAACAATTAAACGAGCTCTTAGAGAAGGGTTGGATTAGGCCCAGTTCCTCTCCATTTGGAGCACCTGTCCTATTCGTCCCCAAAAAGGAGGGAGAGTTGAGACTATATATAGACTAGTTGAGACTATATATAGACTATAGGGGCCTCAATGCCATCACAGTGAAGAATGCATAGCCACTGCCCTGAATAGATGACCTATTAGATTGGGTGCAGGGGTGTAAGTATTTTTCGAAGATAGACTTAAAGTCCGGATATCATCAGATACAAGTTCGAAGATAGACTTAAAGTCCTGATGATCAACACAAGACAACTTTCCGGACTAGATACGGGCATTATGAGTTTATAGTGATGCCCTTTGGACTAACCAATGTGCCTGCAACGTTTCAGCGTTGCATGAACGATCTCTTTAGGCCATGGTTAGATAGGTTTGTCATAGTCTACCTGAACGACATTTTAGTATTCAGTAAGTCCCTCCAGGAGCATGAGGGTCATCTGAAGCAGGTATTGGAAAATCTAAGAGAAGCTAATTTCAAGAACAATGCGAAGAAGTGCGAGTGGGCGAAGACCCAAGTTTTGTACCTCGGCCACGTCTTAGACGGAGACGGCATAAAACCCGAAGATAGTAAAATCGCAACAATTAGCGATTGACCTACTCCCCGCACGTTGACAGAGTTGCGGTCGTTCCTAGGCCTAGCAAACTATTATAGGAAGTTCGTGAGGAACTTCTCTACAATCGTTGCCCCCTTTTGCAGGTTGTTAAAGAAAGAAACAATTTGGAAGTGGGACAAGGACTGCACGTCTGCAATGAAGAAGTTGAAACAAGCATTCATAGAGTATCCGGTCTTAAAAGTAGCCGATCCGTCTCTACCCTTTGTCGTTACCACAAACACGAGTCAATACGGCATAGGTGTTGTCCTACAGCAAGACGATGGCAATGGTTATAGACCCGTAAAGTTCATGTCTGCTAGGATGCCTTCAGAAAAGGTAGCGACATCTACCTATGAAAGTGAACTCTACGCTCTCAGGCAAGCATTAAAGCACTGGAAGCACTACTTGCTTGGGAGGCACTTCAAAGTCTATTCAGACCACGAGACATTAAGATGGCTGAAGACGCAGGCTAAGATGACACCGAAGCTTACTAGGTGGGCCGCCGAGATAGACCAATACGATTTTGAGCTCAAGCCAGTAAAAGGGAAGTATAATGCAGTTGCGAACGCTCTGAGTAGGAGAGCGTACTACTTTGGGGCGATAGTTCATTATCTAGATATAGGGGGAGACCTGCAGCAAAGGGTTAGAGAGGCCTATGCACAGGACCCTATCTATAGTGACCTCCTCAGGAGAGTGAAGGAGGCCCCAAAGACTGAACCAGACTACCGCACTACTGATGGACTGTTATTCGGGAAGACTAACGTATTTCATCGAGTTTTTGTTCCCAACAGTGAGGAGATCCGTAGTTTGATCCTAGGGGAATGTCACGATACAGAGGGACACTTTGGTTGGCAAAAGACTTTAGCCAACCTAATGCACGCGTACACCTGGCCCGGTATGAAGGCCGACTGCATAGAGTACGTTCGCAGTTGTAAAGTCTGTCAGAGGAATAAGATACTACACGTGCCCCGCTAGGTCTTCTCAGGCCCTTGCCTATTCCTGACCAGCCAGGAGATTCAGTATCCATTGACTTTATGGATGCTGGCGTCAAGAGTAGGCACAATAAGAGCCAAGTCATGGTCGTAGTTGATAGATTTAGCAAATATGCTATTTTTGTTCCTTTGCCTTCTGAGGCACGTACAAAGTTAGTAATTCAAAAGTTTTTTTATCACTGGTTTAGTGAGCACGAGGTCCCATTGTCCATAGTTAGTGATAGAGACACCCGGTTCACTAGGCAGAACTGGCAGGAGTTAATGAGAGTCTATCGCTCCAAGTTGTTAATGTCATCTGGTCGTCATCCAGAGACCAACGGCCAGACTGAACACATGAATAAGATCCTGCAGCAAGTTCTGCGTATGTACATTAGACCTGATCAAATCAACAGGGATGAGATGCTTCCCAAGGTAGCCAGCGCCTACAACAACAGTGTGCACTTGTCTACCTGTTGCACTCCCAACGAGCTGCACAAGTCCTTTAGACCGCGTAGACTGTTTGAAGGACTTAACCAGGATCAGATTTACAAGCTACCGCCCGGTACTAGGGAGTTCGTGATACAGCACGAAAAAGAACTAGCTACTGTTGTAGAGAACCTCAGGAAGGCCTAGCATAGGATGATAGAGCAAGCCAACAAGCATCGTTGCCCGTCGCAGTTTCAAGTAGGCGACTTAGTCTGGGTCAAGTCAAAAGAGTTTGCTCCTGAGGAGAACATTTCGCAGACAGTGGCCAGTCCTAGAGGTCAAGGGCGGCGAGGATAGACCGTCCTACACTATTGAGATTCCAGCACACCTCCACACCTACCCTGTGTTCCATGCATCAAAGTTGTTGCCGTGTGTCACGAGTCAACAGTTCCCATCTAGGAGGTCCATAATCCCCCCAGACATGGACGAAAGATATGACATTGATGGCATTGTAGGTGAAAATGTGTTCAAAACAGGAGGTAGAGGTCGTCCACAGAAACAATATAAAGTCCAATTCGCTTATCAGGAACCCGAGGACGACCGCTGGTTTACTAGAATGGAACTTCTAGAGATAGCTTCCGACATAGTTAGAGCCTATGAGAGAGATAAGAAAGGTAAAGGTCCTGCCTTAGACTGAGTTATTCTCGGAGGACCTCGAATTTAGGCTGGAGGGAGTGAAACAGTTTTCACCTTTGCAGAGGCAGATGCAGATCCCAGGATTCGATCCCCAGACCTTACCTTACCCATGTACAGTACCGAGTTGACCCCTGAGTGTTT